ATATCCACATATTCCAAATAATACACAAATTCACATATCGGCACGTATCAAATTATCATGCTATCACATWATTATTATATCAAATAATCACGTATTAAATACCTTGRGTAATAACCGGGATCTGGTTATTACATGAGGTTCCTCTCAAGTTTTTACAAGAATTTCCACTGTGGGACTGACGTTCTTGTCCAGTTATAGGTTCTTATTAGAACCCAAGTTCTTGTATACATTCTTTTTTTTTTTTGTTATTTATTAATCATTTTATTTTCTTTTAATAAATCTATAAATTATATAAGTTAAAATTGATATAAAATATAAAAATTAGTTATAATAAACTACTTTTTTGATTTTGGTTTGTTTCTTGTAATTTTGTATACAAGTTTTTATATTAATAATTTTAATTTTTAATTATCTTATTATATTATTTCATTGAAGAGGTATATAATTTATTACAAATATTTCAAGGTTCTACCTATGAATTTCAAAAATATTTTCAACGAAATTTTGAGATGCATTCAAATGAAATTCATCATCAACTTCGCTCCAATCTGGTTGGACATATTCGGTGGGATTGAGATTACTAGTGATATGTATTACTATTTATTATCTAATATTACTTATTACAAAGATTAATATTTGTGTAATTTTGTATTTTGTTTAATTATAGTGTAAAATTATATTTATGTTTTAATTTTTTTTAAATGTAATAAAATATATAAATTAACAACTGAAAATCAATATAAAACAATGAAAATTAATAAATTATATTTGAATTTTTTTATAATTATATATATATATAGGGTATATTTTTTTACAACCTTGTGTATTTCTACAACCCTTGCAACCCAATTAATTGTGATATTTATAGAAATGATGGGAGTTCATTTATTATGATTTGAATATTTATGAAATATGAATAGAGTTCATTAATTATGATTAATACTTTATATTAGAAAACAATCAAAACTTCTATGAAATCACATATTCATCAAATGAAATGGACGATTGAGATTGAGTTGTATTGGTTGCACAAATGTCAAGGGTTGTATAATAATCAACCTCTATATATATATATATATATATATATATATATATATATATATCCATAAATAAAATTACATTTGTAAATTAGAAAATGAAAAGTGGGGTTTTTCTAACAAACTCCATTATAGAGTTTTATTGAGAGCATCTCCAACAATTATGCTAAAATAGAAAAAAAAAATGAGATTTTAACATTTTTTTTGTTTCAACAACTATGCTATCCTCAATGCTAAAATAGAGAAAAGAGGAGATAAGTTGTAAAAATCTCTAAATTTAGAGGAAAAATCTCTAAAACTTTATAAAATAGAGAGAATATTTTAATCATATCCAACCAATTAAACTTATTGAAATTAAATGTGTAAGAGAGAGAAATAATATTTTATTAAATGTATTGAATATTTTATTAATAGTTAATTATAGAATTACTTTTCATATTCTATTATAGAATTTTTTTTAGCATAGCTATTGGAGATGCTATGAGATTTTTACTTTATTAAGATGACAATAATATGACCGAACAAAATATGACAAATGAGGTTGTTAAAGGTTTCAATACTATGGATACAACCATTGCTAAAGGCACCTACAACCCCTATAATTTTTTATGTTTTTTTGCCCATTTGTTTTTTTTTTTTTTTGTCTTTCTTATTTTAATTTATTTGTATTATATTTTATTTGTTTTTGAATTATTATTTTTTTTC